CAAAGTTTTTATCTGATGTAACATGTATAGAAATCATACATATACCAAAAAGACAGTGTACATATGGAAAAGATATATATAAATCTCATAAAGTTTGTATCTGTCTTGTGTGAAACTTGTATGAAAAGCATACAAGAGTAAAAACAGATAAGATCCCTTGAAAGATTATATAATGAATCTTGTATGTTTTGGATACTTACTAAAACAATATATGAAAGTAATGAGAAAGTGGCCACTTTTCATGAGTAAATCATGTAAGTTTTTACTATTTCTTTGTGTGAATGGGTGGATGGCTGGATATGTAAAGCGCTTTGGGGTCCTTAGGGACTAGTAAAGCGCTATATAAATACAGGCCATTTACCATTTTCCATATGGGACTGTCACAACAGCATTTGTTTTCATTCAAAGTCTTTATGGCTTTAATACCTGGTGGGCCGGTCTGTAGTCAAAATGCCCGATTTTCTGTCCCAGTCCAGCCCTGCAGGTTATACTGGCAGTGTCACCATGCCAGCTGACTGTATTTCATCATCAGCCAGTGTTGTTCTTTATCAATATTACCAAAGTTTGCCATAAGGCAGCATAGAAAGTATTTACTTGCTTTCAGGTTTTATTCAAATGTTAGTCTTTTCAGTTGTTTCCCCACTTTTTTCCTGTTTCAAAATCAAACACCAGTTTGTGAGAAGATTATCTTCTTTTTTTAACAGGCAGATAAAGTTTTGCATTGGCTAATTTGTCAATTGTTTGTTACAAATGTTCGTATTTTAATATTCAAAAATGTTTTTTGCCCAAAACATATGTGCACTATATGTCAGTAAAAATGCTATGCAAATATTGCTGTCCTTGAATGCTGAGTAAACACTGACTGATTGTATCTCTTGTACTTTATCAACACAGTATCTAAAAACTTTGCACCGTAGTGGTTAAAATCTCATTCTAATAACAGTTAAAAGCGCATTCGGTTATTAGGTTTACGGGGTTATTAAATTATGGTGAACGGTTGGTAGAATTTTTTTTAAACATTATCTGCCAATTACATCTGCTACCCTTCTCCAAATCTGTGCCCCTACCTGGCCCCCCCAACAAAAATTTTCTAGACACGCCACTGACCGGTTGGTGTGTGGTTGCTGACACTTGCTAGGTGGTGATGTCTGCAAAAAGGTTAGCAGATTCACACCCATAATTTTCATTTAAAAACAAAAAAGTACATTTGTCCTGTAATAGACAGCAATGTCAAGCAAACAATCACCAGTAATTTGGGGAATAGACATTTTTCCCTATGGTTGTCAGGGGACCATTGTGTGAACTCTAGGGTCATGTGACTGAAACAAAAGGTTTCATAGCAACCTTAAGCACACGCTTGCCAACTGGTCAGGACATACATTTTTTTTTTTTTTTTGCCTAGTAAGAATTGGCTTAAAGGGGTTGCTGACTGGTCTCTAGGCCTTAAGTACAGATAATAAACACACTGGTGTAACTAGCTGCTCTTGAGTAGTTTGTACTTGAACTTATCAACTTTTAAGATTGTGTATAATCAGCTTCAAAGATCCAAAGTTAGCTTAAAGGATCAAAGAGAAATTTACTTCACATGGGACACGGAGTCGAGACTGAAGGCAGACAGAGATGCCCCAAAGTAAAAGAAATCACAACTGTTACTATTACAATATAAAGAAGAACTGATGTAAGATGAAAACATTTTGGACATAGAGTATAACATCGATTAAACAGCAGCATGGATACACTCCGGCAATTTTCAACATTTAATCAGAGGGTGAAATTTTGTAGGTATCCTGAAAAATCAGATGAAACTCAGCTTTCAGTTACTGAATAAGAAGCATACTGACAGCCTACTTCTGTTAGTACTTCTCATGCAGATGTCTAGTTTATTTTCTCACCACTTTTCATAAAATACCATTTTAGAAATCAATTATAAATATATTATTGTAAAGCTTGTGTTAAAAACCTTTCATTAAAAAACAATCCCATGAACTAGTTGCACGACAGCTTGTAGGACCCTTTTATTAACAAGTGACTCATAGATTACCAATATTTCTTATTGTTTTATTGCTCAACACCTCATATTTTTTTCAAAACATTTCAGTGTAATGTTTACATTATGAGGAATAACTTATTGGAAGGTGATTCAGGTTTTCCTGAACCACACTCACTTTATTCCAAATTTTAAAAATTTGGGGTATGTGTGTCCCCCACTTTACATCTGCAGGTGGTGCTATCTACCTGTGCATCTAGCTGGCACTGGAATTTATGTGTCTTAGAGTTAAGGCTCACAACTCTTCAACTCTGCTGCAGCTAGCCTACATTTTTCTGACAGAATGTTGAAATTAACCTTTTATAAATGTTCCACAACTTATCTCAGTGCAACTAAAACTTTTGGATTTTTTGACCTGATTTCGCTGCGAAGGGCACACATAGTCTAGTTGATCAGTTCAACCAATTAAGATCGTGTCTTTGTACAAGAAAATGCCAATTTTGAATTGATAAATCTAACTAAACAAAAGCCACTGAAACTCCTGGAATTATATACCAGTTCATTTTCTAGGATTTTGAAGGAAATCCGGAACATTGTTCCAAATTCCATAAGAACTGTTGGTTTTAGCAAAGGTGACGGTTTACTGAAAACATGAGAGAGATGGAAGCAAATAAAGGGATTAAGAGAGAGACTGAAGTGAAAGAGGTGTGCAGGAAAATGTTTGGGCAAGACAAGGAAATAACCAGAAGACGAGAGGAAAAGAGCACAGGAAATGTTGAGATTTCCTTTGGTTGTTGGGTTCCTGACATATTTGCTCACTACCCTCTTTCCCTCCGGGAGTGTTATAGTGAGAAGAAAGAGACATCTCCGACTGAGAAGAAGAGCTTTTATTTTGTAGTTACTGAAAGAGGGAGATGTTGTGAGGCAATGTGGAGAAGCTATCTGAAGATATTTTCCTTTCTGATTTTTCTGGATTTTCATTCATCTTTCTGACTATTTTTCTTTCATGTTTTTGGTCATCAGTTTTTGGGAAATAAGGAAATAAGTTACTGATTGATTTATCTCTTCTTTTTGGTCTTTACCTTGTAACTTTTTCGCCGCTACTGCTTTGGTTGTTGTCATTACAAACTTCCTGTAGTCATGTAATCAGCGGTTCATTCGGCACTGGATCCACCTTGTATTAACCCTGTGACAGTGGGATTTGATTTTTTCATTTCTGAGCGAGTTTTTACAGCCTTTCAGCTTTCAGGATCGTGCTGCGTTCAACATGTTACGCTGTATTATTCAGCGAGCCAACAACTTGAAACACTCTGACCCTCAGGCCAGTGTCATTTTCAGAGGTAAGAGGATTATGGGACGTTCAGGGCATGCATAAAGTCAGGGAATAATAGGATCAACTTGGAAAGTTGCCTGTTAAAAATATCAAATAACATGTTCAAAATAAAACTGTTTCAGTTCTCTTAGCTTGTTCTTTGGTTTTTGGAAATATCTGTTTCTTTGGCTGCTGAAAGCTCAAGCTGGTGTGTGTGTGTGTGTGTGTGTGTGTGTGTGTGTGTGTGTGTGTGTGTGTGTGTGTGTGTGTTTTTTTTTTTTTTTTTTTTTTTTTAAATTTCATTTGACTTGAAAATTAAGGTGTAATATACGTAATTTGTAAAATTATGTTACTGTAGAAATAACAGACCATTGAGTTGATTGTAGTATTGCTGATGTCCAAGTTGAGTTTCGAATGAAAGACACACAATTCCTGAGTCTGTGTGTCTGGATAAATAAACTAGATATTTCACTGCAGCTATTGTACACAGTTTTTATCCAAGAATATAACTGTGCACATATCTGTGAGAGATATCTAAGAAATGTGGGTTGCAAATGCTGGGAGTTGAGGCGAATGCTTTTGAATGGAAAATGTCTTAGCCATTTATGTTCTTCTTTTACATTTTTTTTACATACATACATACATACACAGACTGCTGGTAACATAATATAACTAAATTGAATTAACTGAGTGTCTTTATTGCATGTGAAATTTCGGATCACCCGTTGTGCTAACAAGTTAGGTTTTTATTCTTAACTGATTCTAGCAAGCCAGGCTAACTAGCTATTTGGCTAATTAGCTTTGAAGCATACTGATATTATTCCCACTAAAAGTTGTTCATGTTATTTATATAATTATGGCACTTTCACTGTACTCACATGTTTACTTTAAATTAAAGAAAAAAAAAAAGGAAGAGTTCAGCTAGCATAAGCTGTCTCTTTGTCATTCAAAGCCTGTCAGATATGACTTTTGCAGCTTATTTTATAATCTCAGACATTTTTTTTTTTACTGTGACATTGTTTTTAAATTAGGCAATAACACAAATAAATATACTGATGACGAAAGTCAAATATGGTGGCTAAACAGATGGCTAACAGTGGCACTCAACACTGAACTTACTGGTGTTTAAATTTAATTCTATTACTAATGGTTATTAATCTGTCATTGCTGGAATCTAAAAAAGTACTGCGTGAATGAAATTATTGAACTGCACCACTAATGTAGGTGGTCCTATCACTGCAGAAAATCTATAAATGGTAAATGGACTGGTACTTATATAGTGCTTTTCTACTCAGTTTGAGCACTCAAATGTAACGTCTTGATGCAGTCTTAATCATCCAGGTAAGTAAATCTCCAAAAGTTGATTAGGTTTATCTGGACGAAGCGCTTTCAGTGGGAAAAACGTTTTGTCACTCATCCAAGTAACTTCTTCAATCTCAGCTGACTGCAGGTTTCCCCAATCTTATAAACAGTAATGCATGAAACTAGCACCACTGAATGAACAATGGGCTGGGAGGTCCCATTCATTGATCAATGGCCATTGATCAGCTGTCTTTGATCAGTGATTGTTGATCAATGGTCATGAGAATTCGCATAATCATGATTTAGAAACCTCCCAGCCCATTGTTCATTCAGTGGTGCTAGTTTCATGCATTACTGTTTATAAGATTGGGGAAACCTGCAGTCAGCTGAGATTGAAGAAGTTACTTGGATGAGTGACAAAACGTTTCTCCCACTACGTCCAGATAAACAGAGTCCACTTTTGGACACTATAAGTTGCGTGAAATCACCTTTTATTATTTATTCAGGACTTAAAGCCAGAACTGCAGCCTCCAGTCTAGACTTTGATGTCTTAAAATCAGAAAAATGCCTAGGACGCAACAAAGTAAACCAACAAAGTTTTGGACTGTCATGTCATGATTCTGTTGGTTTTTGCCATGATTTCAATATTGGATAAATGCAGAAGCTCAAAGATTCCCAGTTTATAGAGAGGGAGATGTTGCAACACCTAAAAAGATGGAGAAAACAAACAAAAAATCTTTTTCTACTCTTGTACCAGCGCTAGATTTCTTTCTGGTTGGCGACACCTATTGTTCAGTAGAATACTGCAGCATATGGGACACGCCCTCTTCTCCATTATTCATGGTGACAGGGCTGTGGTGATGTCACAATCAGCGACAATAAATGAGCTCTTAGCTACTTTGCCTCAGCGGCATTCCTGTTTTCCGATCTGATTTTCGTGTAGGGCTACTTTCCATGACTCAGTATCTGACTCCTTTATGAAGAGAGCTCTGCTTTCTACTTCCTGCCTTTGTCCTAACAGTTTTCTCGTACCATCACACAAATACTTGTATCGTCGTCTTACCTCAATCTATTGCTAATTTTAAATTGAGTGCACAGATCAACAGCCCATTTTTAACAAAGACTAGTGTAAGTCTCTTTCAGGGTTTAATAAGCGACGTGCCAGCAGATGTTTTTCCTATTTTGTTTACTCATGCCTATCTCACCCTTCTCATGCACTCTTAAATTAAGTGAATTTGGTGCAGTGACTCTGCATCTTTCCTTTTCCAGCAGAGCCAGTCGACTCTGATCTGTAGAAATTGATTCAGTGCAGCAAAGTGAAACTGAAACCACTCTGTTATGTCTCTTTTCTCCCACATCCACATTCATATTATGGCTAAACAGCAGAACTTCTTTCTTATTGTGGGGGGAAAAAGCTCACTGAACTATAGTGATAAAGCAGTGCCTTGGACACCTTAAGCATCAAAAATGAATGATATACTCCATTTATATACTTAAAAAAGCATGGAAAATAAATGAGTTGGTGGTTTTTTCCCCACAAAACTGTGTTCCAATAACTTGAAGAATTTAGAGTTCAGAAAGAAAAATGACAGAAAAAGTGAAAGAGGATTTCCTCCCCTCAAGAACACAGATACCATGTCCATTTTTAGAAATCAGAGATGTTAGTTGAGCAACTGTTATATGAACTGACTAATCTCAACAGATCCAGAGGGAAGGATATGCATTTTCTGCATTTAATGTATTCAAAACGGATTGTGGAAATGTATCCCAGAGTTTCCAGAGCAATTCTGGCCTATAAGAGTGACCAATACAATAGACATTTTCATGGAAACTCTTTCTGCACAAGGTTATGATGAGTGCTAATGCACAGACAGATGACTGTTTTGTTTTTTTTTCCTTCCCTACGCTGTGTTTGTGAGCAATGAGTCTATGGGTGCTGTGATTAAATCTGGCAGCGTGTGCTGGTGTTTGTGTCCTAAAGGCAGGATTTCCGGCCAAAGTGTTGTTATTGTCAGTGAGTGTTGTTCTCAATCAAAACAAAAATAAAAGCTGGCAGCACTGTACTATTTATAATGTGGATCCCCCATGTGGGTCAGACTCAGCTGCTGGTACTGTTCTCAATTACTCCACACAGACACTCCTTAACCAAACAGGAGGCAACAATACTAAACCCTTAACACTTCAAGTCTACAAACTGTGACATAGTCTCTATTTCCAAAGTCACTTCTTGAAAATAATTAAAACATAATAACATTTACACATACATTGTATATTGTTCAGTTTCATATTACTGCTTTAAATTGTCAGTATCAGTCATCAAAGTATCATTGGCTAAAATACAGAACCACGAGTTACTCCTAATGAATGAATGAGAGACACTGTAAAAGTGCTCAAGCAGAGTGCAAACGCACAAAATAAGAACCTAGAAAACACATCAAATACGTAAACTGAGATATTTCATTATTTCTAATCTCTCCAAATATTATTGGTCCAAATATATCAGGCTCTGAAAACTACATGGGCGATTGGTTGTTCATGTGACCATAACTCCTTAAACTTTGAGCTGACTTTAAAAATACATGTCCACACACACAGTGAAGGTCTAAATCTAGGTTTCCTATACGTGTCTGAAAACCCAGAGGGCTGCACTATTCTATTCTCAGCTCATAATAGAAATGTGCCAAGTTGAACCGGGAAGTTAATACTGTGCCACTTCCTCTCTGCAGGTTTCAGACTGTGGCACCAGCACTTGGGAGATTTCTAGAGTTGACACGCACAACACACACACATTCACTCATGAATCAAATGTAACCTCTCAACCTTTCTGTGGAAGGGTGGAGATGTTTTTTTTTATATCCCACAAGAACGGAGGCACTCTTACGTAGGTAATTTATGTGTGTGTGTGTGCACTTGCTTGGGTGTGTATAGTTGAATTAATGGTTTTATTGCTCTCTGTTTGTGTTTGTGTTCTCAAACTTGGTGATCGCTGTAGGGAAAACAGGAAGGCAAACAACTTTTGTCCGAGTGTGTGTGAATGGAGACAATTTGGGTGTGTGTGTGTGTGTGTGTGCATACTGGGAATACATGTATTAAAAATATTAATTGTACTCCAGTTGAAGCCAAAGATATGTGACCAATGACCTTTGGTTTCCAAAAGGGTCTGGAAATTTTTAGACAACCAGACTTGCATGTTTAGAGCACTAAAAAAAAGTGTCCACGCAGAAAGAAATTCGCAGAAACGCGGCGACTAGAGACCAGAGAAATTCAACAACATCAGTGACTTCAATCTAATATGCTATCAGGACAATGTGAAGTGGGAAGGTTCCAAATACAGACAGTATGTATAGACGACTGACATAAGTACTGTGACATCACCCACTGGCTTCTGAATTTCTGTTTTGAAGCCTCGAGATGACTGCTTCCACCCGAACCATGTTGGAAAAGCTAAGATGAGACAAAGAAGTGTCAATCTGACTGTAAAAGCCAACACTCATTGGCTAATGACTCGTGATTGACAAGTCATAAGCGAGCACGTGGTTTTATAACACAGATAATACTATTTTATCACATTGTATGACCAAGATTGATAAAACAGTACCTCATTTTTTATTTAATATAACCCCTAATAAATGACTGAACCCTTCAACTCAGCAGTTTGTCTATGAGATTCAATTCAATATTATTTATTTCATGAAAAATCACAACAACAAAATCACAACAAAAATCAATGCAAAGGCCCTACAATTTTAGAGAGAAACCCCAACTATCAAACCGCCTATGAGCAAGCACTTGGTGACAGTGGAAAAGAAAAACTCCCTTTTAATAGGAAGAAATTTCGGCATAACCTGGCTCAGGGAGGGGCCACCATCTGCTCAAACCATTTGGGGGTGAGGGGAAAAGATGTGATGTTATTTTCCCATGAACTGCTATAGGACAACAAGTCTTTGTTCAACTAAAGTTATCACCATAGTGTGGCAGGTTTTTAGGCACAACTGCATTGACTTAATTTTTTTGACCTGGAAGTTATGTCCACGTTTGATACTCCCTGTGGTTCTAAGATAAACTTGTGTCAACTTTGAGTTGGATGATATGGCAGGGTGATGAATCCAGAAGGTTACCAAGGCAAGCTGAGCCTAGAATGTTGTTGGTGACCAAACCTAAGCAACAAAATGATGTGCAATGAACAAATAGCTTCCTGTGTGGACACCCTTTTACTTTCATTTTTAGTGTCTCCTATCCTCTTATTACATTTTTCTGATTCTTTTTTTTTGCACATTTTATGCACCAGTTGTTTAAGTTATTCATTCAGCGTTTTTTATTTACTCATGGTTAAAAATCTGTAATTATTCATATTTGACTTTTGTAACCCCTGACCTTTCTTGTTTTATTTGCACTTGCCTTTAAAATACATCATAATGTAGAAAGCATGTCTGTAAAAGCTCCTCAAGAATAACTTAAGTAATTTTTAAAATAATCTAATCTAATGGGATTATCAGATAAACAACTGCAGTCAATACATGCAAAACTACCGTCATTTGTATCAGCTTCAGCTGTCCTTGGTGACATTTACCAGGAATTAGCATGTCATGGAAATGAAAAGGTAACTTCAAAGATGAAGACAATAGCCATTGACTCTGTTTCCTTTTATCTGGAAGCACAAGTTTAGTCTCTGTCTCAATCAATTCCTGTTTTACCAAAAATAATTGGAAACTGTGATAACTGCCCCCCTGTGTGATAACTCACATTATCACATATTTGTACACATATTGTTTCATAAGTGGCCTTCAGTATTTGAGTACCTATTCTGGCAGGGTATTAACCTGTCTCACCTCTAACTTCTGGTTAAAGCTGCCCGATGGCGGGCAGGAAATCAGAGCTCCGAACTTCATGTTACAGGAAGCCATGGAAAGATAACACACATATACAAATAAACCTATTGTGTGTCAGTAGTTATTTTAGAGCAGAATATTTATACCACTGTTTATGTGCGAACTTGTTTCTATAGTGCACCTTTTGGAGGAATTACAATAAAATGTATGTCAGTAATCATCACACAAAATGAGCTGACTAGAATTGATATACTTATATTATTTAATCTTTACAACAACTTAAAATACAGATAATAAAAATTACATAGTAAGTTCAATCTCTGCAATAGTCTTAATTTTGTTTACCAAAAATAGTATATATTTCAACTTTAAACTCTGACTTTAGCAGTTGTTTATGGAGAAGGGTAATTTATTCCAAAGTTTTAAGGTGCAATGTGTAAAGTTTTTTTTTTGTTCTTATGTTTTAACATTCAGAATAACTTCATATCTTTGATTAGCATAACCATGAACGAGGGTAACAAAAGTTTCATGTGATGGAGCAGTTCTTCTTATCATTATACAGGTACATGAGTGGTAAAGATAAACAATCCACCCTTACTGGAACATTTAACGATTTTATTCTACACATTTCATTAAAATGTTTGTCAGTGTGGATGGTGTAGGATAGATAGGGGTGACTGCATAGACTTTTCTGAAGGCCTTTACTGAGTTATTATTATGCTTATTCAAAGTTGGAGTAGATCTGGACACATTTTCTTTTCTATTGTTAAAAATATTTTTTTCCACTAATCTGATTTTTAAAATTTGTTTTTTAAGATGGCTATGCTCATAAATGTTGGTCAAAACTTTACTTTGTAAGTAAAGTTTGCACTATTAGTTGAGCTAATAGCAGAGCAAATATATGTGACACACAGGTTTCTAACTTAAGTTGTTGGTTACTGCAAAAAGGAGACTTTCAGGTTTTCCGAGATGGCGTTAAAAATAATTTTTCTCATTTCTGACACAACTTAAGGTCAATATCTGTATTGACAAACAAACATTACATTTTCCATTTTCTATATCTGTTTCAGGGTCCAAGAAGAAGACAAAGGTCATCAAAAACAATCCTAACCCTGTGTGGAATGAGGTAAGTCCTCCATTAAGCCACAAATTCATCAACCCATCATCCGTTAAAGTTCCTAAGTGTGTGATAATGCAATGTCAAATATTAAGTATATTTTAATTATTAATGTGAGAACAAGTTATAACCTAATTTAAAAGTAAGACATTGCTTGGTAAAGAACTCAAAGTGGAAAATGCAGGATGAGTCCTCCTCTTGCATACAGTCCTGGAGTCCTCATCAAAGTGAAGCATCCATAGATTCATATAGAAACTCAAAATACAGACAAAAATAACTGAAAACAAAAAAAGATCTAGTAAAGATATAAAGATAATGTTTTATTTGTTAGAATGGCAGCAGCCTTGCAATTTAGGTAAGTCTGTTGTTATGGTACATTAATCTACCATTGGGTCCTAACAATGCTAGTTTTGACTGCTTCTTTATTCATATCTGGTTGCAACATCAGGCCGCTCAAAGTGAGTAAAATAATTTGCTACCTGAAAGTTAGATCTGACTTGGAAATTTATAATAATTAACATAACTGCTTAAGATAGAAATTTGCTGTATGTAGTCAGCAATTTGCAATTAACGTGAAAGTTAGCATTAGCTAACGTTAGTCAGAAAAAAAACCTGTTTGATTTTACTTACACAAGCCTGTATGAATGTTTTGGGAATTGAAATCAACCCTGAATTGGCTTTCCCCTGGGTTAGCTTACCACCTATCTAGCATACCCTAAAAACACATTCAGTGCATTTAGTAAGTTTGCAACATTACGAGCTGGTGAAATTGTGACAACATTTCTGTATGAGCAAAATAACCAGACAAAAAAATTATTTGCAATTTGCAAGTACTTCACAAATATAATGCAATAAAGGTGCAGTAAGGATATTACAAAATATCATAATTAAAATGTTCTGCCTATAAGATCCCATTTTCACTCTTTTTTTTTTTAAACATTTCTTTCCTTTGTGTCCGTCAGGGTTTTGAGTGGGATCTGAAGGGGATTCCTCTGGACTCTGGAGCTGAGATTCACTGTGTTGTTAAAGATCATGAGAAAATGGGGAGAAACAGGTACTGTGTGCTATGCTAATTATATGCATTCAGATGTGGCATCAAAACACTGAAGAAATATACAAAATGACCCTGAAAAAACTTCTTTAAGTAATTTTCCTTTTATAGACAGGCAAGTGTCTCAGATGGTGACAGATCCTATCATTAGAGATTTCCAAAAAAAAGAGGCATAATTGTTTTAAACAAGAAAAATAGATCAAACCCATAAATACAACTGAAGAGTAAAAGGGAAAGGTCTGTTTTAAACTCCAAACGGGCTATATTTACTTTTAATCTCTCATCACTGGCAGCTGTTTGTAAATCATTTTAAACCTTGTGCTGGCCAACAGACAGATAAAGAGGCGATATGTACAAATCACCCCTGGGATAATACATTTAGGATTGTCATACTATGTTTGACTAGATGGAGCTGCACATTGTCACAGTAGAGATGTGGCCAGAGGACCCCTCAGTGGGTTATTTTTGGATTACTTCACTCGATCAAGATGTCACACCAGTCAGTTCTTTCGGAAGGGAAGGGGCAGGAACCAAAGAATCAGGTCTTCCCCTCATTGTGGTATTTATTCTGCCAAATTCCCACCCATTCACCCTCTGTTGTGCTGAAAGATGAATGGATCCATAAATCAGCCACTCAAATTACAGTGGAACTTGACTGTGTCTCAGCTCTCAGCATAAATCCTTTATCGTTGTACTAAGTATTTGTTTTCTAAGGAGCTTCAAGAAAAGCGATTGGTCGTCTTTAAGTTTCCTGAAGACGTTTCACCTCTCATCTGAGAAGCTTCTTCAGTTACCCACTATTGATCATGTGCTTCACCACATGAGCCAAAGTGTGAAAAAAGGCATGGGTCATGAGTTTTCCAATGAAACCATTGTGAGACCTTGCTACACCCTATCATGTGACTTATTGAGATCACCTAAAGCAAGATGGGATTGGGGGTTGAGGCGCCTGTGGAAGGGATCTCAAAACCGCGTTGTAGGTGGCAGACCACCTCCTCTAATCAAAGGTGGTCATTCACAGTGGGGATAGATAGCCTCTTGAGGGACAACTCCCACTAGAGTTTAAATGCCATTTGATTTTAGACCTGAAGGAGTTTCTCAGATGAGACATGGAACATCTTCAAGAAACTTAAAGAAGTCAAGTCGCTTTTTGTTTCATAGCTGGATAGAGTACCATGACCTGGATGACTGAGAACTTACACAGCATTTTTTTTTTTTTTTGTCGGTGATTTTCTGTTCACCTGGACTTAATGTGTGAAGTACAAATTTGTCATTTTGGGGTGTATTTGCTTTTCCATGTTCCTTTGATCTCTCTAGGCGTTACAACTTTGCTTGACAATGTTGTACAGTAACAAAAATAACCACCAAGGTTGGGGAATAAATGTTGTAAGATGTCAGAAAATGACTGTGAATGGGGAAACAGGGAAACTAAGAGTTTATCAGAGACTAGGCACAGGTGCAACACTGTTAGGGTCATGTGGTAAGAGCCGTAATTCAGTCCTTGAAGTCTATAACAGATGGATATCACCAAATACTGGGTTTCCTTCTTTGAGAGGCTTTGCCAGATAATGCATCTCATTATTGGAGACTTTGGCAATGGCATGCATGCCTCCTCAAGAGTGTTCGTGCTTTGGCCAGATGTTGGGAAGAGGTTTTTTTGTTTTGTTTTTTTAACGAAGGAATGAATTTTGGGATCATCAGCTTTTCTTGGTTGTTGCTGAACTGGTTAGTGCATTCCTAATTTTTAAGAATTTACCAGTCCTAAAGTTTTCTCTCTCTTTCTGATATTTTTATGTGATTTTTTTTTTCAGCCCAATGGTGGCTGACATATTAGGATGATCTGATATCGTCATGTTGGTGTTGTTCCTGGAACAACATTTACTATGTTGATCTGGGAACAACACCAACACGACGATATCAGATCATGCGACATATTAATGTTGTCATTTCTTTGATTCTCATACTGGGACTTTCAGGGAAAATGTACTTGGGATCAACTCAAGCTGTGTCTTTAAAGATGTTATTTTGTAAATAACACAGTTGTTTTTAAGATCCATCTCTGTGTTTCTGGTGTGTGTCTCTTTCAGGTTTCTGGGGGAGTGTCGGCTAGGTCTTAGAGATGTGCTCAACTCTCCCAATTTCGCCGCCACCTTCACCGTCTCCTTGCTGGACACCAAGAGGAACAACACAGGGGTGAGCACACGGAACTGCACTGACTGATTAATCTGCAGCCTAACTGCATACAAGTCGATTATAAATGACTCAAAGTTTCCTCTTTTGAGCTTAAAATAAAGTGAGCAACATTTCTGAATCATAGTTGATTTATTTCCTTCTTTGGGATCCTTAATAAAAAAAAAAGAAGAATCAGAAACACAAAAATGCCTCTCCACAACAAATAAAATGAACTATAAATAACTGCAATTGATTTTATTAGATGGGTTTTTTGGTAATCTGCTGACTAAGGCTGATCAGGTCTGTAATGTCAAGAAAAATGGTTGACAGGTGGTTAGTGGGTGGGTCTTGGACTTGATGATGCACTGATGTGTTCATGTGCTGCTGGGGAAATCCAACATGGATTTTCCGTTTATATTTCTTGTACTTTTTTGTTGGAAAATATGAACTCATGAGCTCAAAATTAGGCAAAGGTCTTGCTGGAAGCAAGAGATGTTCTTTATGTTTTTCATCTTTTTCCGTTTGTTCCAAGTGTGTGAGCACTACTATTTATCTTATATCAGCAAGGTTATGTCAAATTTAATTAACTCTAGTAAGCACTGGTACCACACTGCAAGAAAGTCCTAGCTTGCATGTTCTCTCCATTCTGCATGTATTCTCTGAGGGTCCTTATGGCAGCCGGGATATTGTATTCTAGGTGCTTTTTTTTTGTTTTTGTTTTTTTTTATTGTCATTGAAAAGACACCTAGAATACAGTATCTATTACTGGAGCCTTTTTCTTTTTAAAAAAAAAAAAAAAAACACTTCTAATGATGAGAAACCTTCAGCAGCTGATGGTTATTCAGTGATGAAATGCTTGATTTTCTTTTTCCTCTAATTATGCAACATTGCTCTATGGAGACCCACATTGACATAATACAGGTGTAGCCTAGAAAACCAGTCATCACAGCTACAGGTCTAACCCAACACCAACTAAAATAAAATTATTCAGTAGTTTTAGTTTCCAAAAAAGCTCAAACTCAAATTGGTCTTTAAGAAGAAGATGCAGAAGTATAAGATCTGGGCACGCACACACACACATGCACGCACACCCCTTGGCAGCCAAACCTATAGCAGCAAATGAAACACTGTTCTCTTCCCCATCCTTGCTTCCTGAAGCCAAAACAAAGTCTTCCTGTCACTGTCAGACTGGACCTGATTGATGCCACATACATGTGCGCACACCCACACACACACTGTATGCTATGTACAATGTGTGATTTATCAGGTTTTTTCTTCATTAGTCATAGAAAGCAAACTCTGTTATAAACAAAAATAACACTAATATTGTTTCTTCAAAGATTTCTTGTTGCATCTGCCCTTACAACTGTTTGCTTCCACAAACAAAATCTTACACAGATTCAGTGAGCTAGAGCCAAGAAATCAAGAAAAACATGTCAAGGTATTCACATTCTTAACATCTACTCCACAGAAACTGTAGTCTGACCAGAGTTGGACACGCCGAGTCTGATGAGTTTGTTTACAGAAACATAACAGCTTATCACTTAAGCTGCTTTTTCCTGTTGAAGGAAACAGTAGAAGCCACCCCTGCTACCACAGGGTAACTCATCTTGATTACAGTGTGCAGGAAACAGGTCTTTTCTGGTGGTGGTGGTGGTGGTGGTGAGGTTAAATGCCACTTTGAGTTTGGGTAGAGAACCATAAGTGAAGAATGGTGGGCTCGTCCAGGATTTAAACCAGGGACAAATTGCACTTTAAACTTGAACCAGACCAGTGAAACGGTTCTTTCTGCCAGTGTGCAGAAGTTTAACTACATATTTAATCCCTGAGATATCTTATATACAAAAGTGAAGTACTATTCCAACTGAAGGAAAGTCAGCACAACTCTTTGAGCTTAAACTAAACTACAGAAATCTATAATTGAATTACTTTGGTGAAATACAAATGGCTACAGGGGAGGTCTTCATCAGTAGGAAAAGTTGTAGCTTATACAAATAAACTATACAATTACACAATTAAAAGTCCAAATATTATGTTCTCCTTTGCATTTTCCGAAAGCGATCCAGTGTCCCAGACTGGAATCTTTGCCAGGCCAAGTCATGTTTGACACCCCTGCCCTAGACCAATGAGCCACATGTTTTATGCATAATTTGTGCTGAGGTGTATGATGAAGTGAAATTCTCTAAGTTTAATTAACCCAACTTGTAGGGCACAAAAAACCCCAAAACAAATAAAACTGCTAAAAAGTGCTAAAAAAATAATTGCAGTTCCTCAAAAGGCCTGTAGAGGCACTAAATAGAAGTCACGACTTCCTGTCTTAAAAGCTTAAACTTAACAGCATTAATCACAGCCTGGTTTAAATAACTGTTTTGGCCTCGTTGGATAGTTTCCACCACCAAAACAACTGAACACAGAGTGAAATGCTTTTATAACTCAGTCTTGCATCAGTTTTAGTAAATCTGAAGGTAGGGTGGCAAACTCTGTCTCTAAGCCTAATCCGGATGATACAGGTGAATAGCATGGGTAGCATAAAGGCCACTGCAGTTAAGTTACTTATTAAGTGCCATCCGCTGACCTGCTCTTCCATCATCTTTTACTGTACTTTCTCCAGAGACGTATACAAGTGTCCTATGCATTCACTTCCTCTTTGCCTTCTTATGTATGATTAGTTCCAGCTGAGTGTGCACCTGTTCGCCATCCTCTCGTTATCCTGCCTGTGTATTTAAGTCCTCAGTCCTCAGGCCACAACAACAAATGGTCCTCTGTTTGTTGTTGTGGCTGCCACATTTGCTGTGTGTTCTTGCGTAAGCACCATGTTCTCTAGCCATGTCATGAAATGTTGAGTGCAAGATTTTTAGTTCTAGTTTATCTTTTCTTTGTTTTCTTTCAGCGTTCATATACCTAGTTTTAGTTTGTGTTCTCCAGCAATAAAGCTGCCACCTTTAGTTAAGCATTTTGTCTCCAAGCCCTGCGTTTGGGTCCTACATTCTGCCTGCCACACAGCCAAACATGACAGATCTTCTACAAGTTGTGTTTTCTGCCTCCCATAGGCCACGCTGACCCTGCAAGTTTCCTACCTTCCTCCTCCGGGATCGGCTCCGATGTTTCAGTCTCCTCCCCAGCTGGACCCTCAGCCTCATAACAATCCTAGTGTGGAGCTGGACACGGTCACAAGTAACCTCAGCGTGTCATATAGTGAAACAATAATTGCAGTGGTGTGAAAAAGTGTTTACCCCTTTTGAGATGCTGTGTTACTTTTACAGCAGATGTAATGACACACACACACACACATACATATTTTGGTCAGCTGACCACTCCTGGGGGGGTCACCACTGTTTCAAGTTTTCTCCATTTGTGGGTAATGTCTCTCACTGTGGTTCACTTGAGTCCCAAAGCTATAGAAATGTTTTATAACCTTTTCCAGACTGAGCGATCTCAATTACTTTGTTTCCCATTTGTTCCTGAATTTCCTTGTGTTGTGGCTCCATGTCTGGCTTTTCGTCTACACCACTTTGTCAGGCAGGTCCTATTTAAGTGATATCGTCAATCACATTTTCACACAGGTTTTTTCCTCCTTTAATAATAAACACCTTCATTTAGAAACTGAACTGCATTTTGTATTTACTTATTATCTTTATCAAATATCTAAACTTATCTGATGATCTGACACATTTATGTGTAAAACAAAAACATACAAAGACCCTGGAAGAGTGCAAACACTTTTTCACACCACTGTATGTTTTTTTCCCCCTTCTTCTGTTTCCATTTGCCCAACCCAATGTCTCCATTTTGTTAGTTTACCCTAAGATTTATTTCCTGGGACTACTTTCTGTGCAGTGATCTCTCTGGATACTTTGGGCGAGGAGGATACAGAGAGTATGATGATGCTTGAGCCCACAGAGGACCAGGGAGCAGACGATGGACGCTCCATGGTGATAATTGGTCCTCAGGGGCCCCCGGGCCAGGAATCCCCCACCGCCCAGACGCCCAAGCGTTCACCGCCATCCTACCACACCCAAGGAGGGCTGAGGAAGAGGAGGAGAGGAGCCAGCAGTCAGCCCAAACAGCTACCCAACAAACCACAGGATCTACAGGTTAGTTACAATACTTAAAAAAGACACATTAAAGGAATACTTACACTCTATACATGTTGCTGTCCACACGTGTCCTCTTCCAGATTCGTGTGCGGGTCATTGAGGGACGACAGTTGCCGGGCATCAACATTAAACCTGTTGTTAAGATAGCAGTTGCCGGGCAGTCCAAGAGGACCCGAATCAGAAAGGGGAACAACCCAGTCTTTGATGAGGTGAGTAAATGTTTTTGCCAGTATGCTTGTCTTGATAACTTTCTTTTTTTGCACTATACTGCTTTTTATTATAACTTTACATGTTACTTTTTACTCAAACTTCAACTTGCATTTATTTCCCTCCACAGACTTTCTTCCTGAACTTCTTCGAGACACCCTCAGACTTGTTTGACGAACCCATTTTCATCACTGTGAGTGTGACGTTTTTCTCTCTTTTTTTTTTTTTTATTTGTTTACCTTGAATAAATCCAGCATGTGGGAGAAATTCAACACTATCAGCGTTTCTTATTTTTATCAGAGTTATAATCGTTCTCTTTTTCAGGTATGTGACTCTCGTTCGCTTAGAACTGACGCCGTGATAGGTGAATTCAAGGTAAGAGCTTTAACTTGAGTCTATGATTTCTATGAATATTGGACTGTGGTGTACTGTGATAAATTAGGAGGGGGGGCACGTGTGCTTTGGAAATTAGAAGAACTCAAACATCTGTCTCTGTGTTCTGTTTTCCACAGATGGATGTGGGCACCATCTACAATGAGCACAGTGAGTATATGTTTGTATGATTTAAACATTTTTAGGTGTATTTGCTTGAAAAAGTTTAAACAAAGATCTAAATGCTAAACTGTAAATTATGTCAGATTGATCATCAGTCTGATGACATTTTTCATTTACTTAGCTTTTAGCCATTTAGTCAGGCAGCTAGCATTCTCACCTCACCTCACAGCAAAAGGGTTCCTGGGCTTATTCCCTGACTTTTTCCCTTGTGTTAGCTGGGAAAGGCTCCAGCATCCCTATGACCCTGATTTGGATACGTGGTTATGAAAAAGGATGAGTGAAGAGCTGTTCTCACACATTGGCACTGCTGCTGTTCTACACAGCAACCTGGCAAATGAAAACTTGACGAATGTTAAAACGGTCTTTAACCTGCCAGGTCCAAAGACTTTGTGATGTCAGATTGAGTCAGGGTGCAAATGCAGTTAACTGTCCAGTGTATTCAACACTAGCAAGTCAGAGTCTTGTGTGCTGCCTACTGCCTGTGTCCATTTAGCTAAACCACATTAGTATTTCCAGGTATGAAAATGTTTCTGAACCATTAGATGATGTCACCCACCGGTTTTCTGAACTACTTTTTGAACCCTCTGTGATTGTTTTTGCTGCTGCCACTTTGTTTTTTGGACCAGAAATAATGATATCTGGATAAGAAGTTGAAGTGCGAAGTTATCAGCTAAAGCTAGCAAGCTTGGATGGACAGCTGTATTCATAGACCTCACAAGCTGTAACATCTCACTTTAAAGGGTCCAGCAAACATTTATACAAGTGTTAAGAGAACAAAAAGCAAAACAAAACATATTTGAATGTATTATCATTGACTGTCAGGACAGTCAAAATTAAAATATTTGAAGATATATTCATATCAGTGATACTGATGTGTCAAAATCCATTAAGTCCGTCAAACAATGATGCTTACAGCTAAATAGGAATCCAGGGTGATGATTGTATATAACATTTAGAAAATCAAGATCACTTTTTGGTCCATGCCAATCAGAAAGGTAAGTTTTTTTTGTCACATGCCCCACGGGTTGCAGCTTGGTGTCATTATGTCTTGCTTTGTGTGAGAAAGGATAACTGTGAAAACTTTCTCCTGACGTGTGTCAAAGCTGCTTTTGTTTATCCTGAATTTACAAGCTTCTGGCTTTAAACCTCTCTCTTCCTCCCCTCTTTTCAGGGCACTGCTTCTTGAGGAAGTGGCTTCTGCTTTGTGACCCTGACGACCTCTCTGCTGGGGTCAAAGGCTACCTGAAGGTCAGCTTGTTTGTCTTAGCAGCTGGAGATGAGCCACCGGTGAGTTTCATACTCTTTTACAAGATAGTCCTAGAAGGCTATGAGGTCAATCAAGTAACATGAGTTGTTCTATTTTTACATGGTTGTGCTTTTTCTGTGCAACTCATTATCACAAGTGAGTATTTGTACTTTAATGTGATTGCAGGCTGATAAACGTGAGTGTGTGGAGGATAAAGAGGATATAGAATCAAACCTGTTGAGGCCTGCAGGTCTGTCTTTGAGAGGAGCCTCGTTCAACCTGAGGATCTTCAGAGCTGAAGACCTGCCACAGAGTGAGTCTCTGTTGTTATTCTATGCACATTTGATAAGCTTGAAAAAAAAAATGTATAAAGATTCCTAATATGCTTCTCTGTCTGAAGTGGACGATGCCTTCATGGATGGGATGAGGCAAATTCTTGGCTTTGATAGCAACCGGAAGAATCTGGTGGATCCTCTGGTGGAGATTCACTTTGCTGGCAAAACGGTGCATATGACTCTGTCGTAACAGTCAACAACCAAATAAAATAAAACTGGAAAGCAAATACGTTTTTAGTTAGTAAAAACAAATGTGGATTGTCTTGTTTTTCGTTGTCAGATTTGCACTAAGACTTTGGAAAAGAATGCCAATCCACAGTGGAACCAGCGCCTGGCCATGCCAGTCAGAGTAAGAAATAAAGACAGACTATTCTTGTGCCAAGAAGTTGTATTTTCATTGTCACTAGAAAGTACATCTTTTTTTTTTTTCTTTCTTCTTCCCAGTTTCCTTCCATGTGTGAGAAGATGAGGATCAGAATTCTGGACTGGTGATTTTCAACTAAAATCTCACATTTGTTCATCAAACTTAGCATCATTATCAATATTATTTTGACCTCTTTAAAAGATGGGACTGTTGTGGAGACCCACACCAAAACATAGGGGTGGGCAGTTAATTTCCCACACGAGGAACTGGGACTGTTGTGCAGTGCCACACCAATAAGCTGAACTCAGTTGTGCTCAGTATTAACTTTATCTCTTTATAAGTCCTAGTATTTCATGTAGAAATGGAAACATTAATTATCCCACCACGCCCTAGTGTATAAGATACATTTTGACCTATGTCATTTTGACCTATGCGCTTTGCATCCTTCTATGGCTTTCTCATTTTAGGGATAGAGCCAGTCACAACGACGTTATCGGCACCACCCACCTCTGTATGTCCAAGATCTCCGCCCCCGGAGGAGAGATAGATGGTGAGTAACAAGTCGCAACCAGTCTGAACTAGACTGTACCAGATCAGATTAGGCTGGTTCAGGCTGGATTTAAACTGCACCAAAGTGTTGAAACTTGCCTGGTTTGATTACTGACATCCAGTGATAATCACACTGTTTGAAGTGTTTAACATCACATTCAGCTCTGCCTGAAAGCAGTTAGCATTAGCTTGGGGAAAATGCCCAACCTGTTTTAGAGATATTTTCAGCGAGGTTTCAGCTGATCATACAGGTCAAAATAAGGTTTTTGTCAACTTTAACTTCAACTTTATTCTTGAGCCACAAAACTATAAAAACCTTAGTTCTGTCTTCTATTTATATAAATATGTGTAATTTGACCGGTTTAAACGTGAGTGAAACAGCACTGTCTATACTGACAGCCTGCAGCCTGCTTCATTTTGTTTCATGGATTATCCTTGTGCTAGTTATTACCAAACAGACCTGCAGTGGTTGCTGCGGTAAAGTTTCTGGGGAGGTGTATGACAGACTACAGTGAAGTTCTACACCCTACAGGGTAAAAGTGAACACAGTACTATAGATCAAACACTGAGCTTTATTCAGTTTATTTTTTTAACACGTCAGCTCAGGAAATGACCCAGTTTGATCAGTGTGGTTGATACTCCCTGCAAACACTTAAGCTATTAACTTAGTACCCTCAGGAGCTGCAGCCTGAATCAGTAGATGCATCTGTTAGACTTTAAACAACTTCTGCCACGGTGTGTGTGTTGTTACACCATTTGCTCACACGTTTACTTGAACAATTAGACGTGATAACTGTTTGTCTCAGGTGCTGCTGTCTGTGTTCACAACAGACTTTTCCACTCTCTCTGATGAAACTTTTGCTAACCTTGTTGACTGTGTGCTTTGACAGCAGTTCTACTGGATAAGTTGTTTTTGAATAAGCAAAACCATCCTTACAAGTGGTGCATATTATAGGATTTCCCTTCCCACTTTGTTGTGCACACAACACAATCAGTATTACTGACACTTTTAAAACTGAGATTTTGACTGTGTTGAAGGAATGCCTTCAAGTGTGTGCAGCTTTGAAATACACCACTTTAACTGAATGCATCACTTTATAGTTTATGGCTTTGCTAGTGTGTTACTTTTCACCAGGATCTAATAAACATGCTGTCTTTACTGTTGTGGTGACTTCCAAATGTGCACATCTCAGTTAATGTCTTTGTTTTAGCGTTTGAAAACTTGAAGTGTAAAGTTTTGAAACACAGAATGAACCCGTGGTTTGTGAATAAAATGCATGGATGTTTCTTCAGTGGCATGCATGAAGACTAACTCGGTAATGTTTGTGTGGGAAACACTGACACTGCTTGAGTTTTCAGTCTTTGATGCCCCCAGCTGCAAAAAAAGAGAAGGTGCATGAGCTTTGGTCACTGCTTGTGGTAAATGTAATTTCTTCTTTGTCTGGAATACGTGAATAATAATGAGCCATTTTAACCAGACCATGATAAGGAAACACCAGAAAAGTAATAGAACATTCCTCACCAACCGGCCTCAATCAGTCCGACTCCCACCTCTCCCCTCCACTGTCACTCAGCATCGGATCACCCCAGGGCTGCGTTCTCAGCCCCCTACTATACGCCTTGTACACATGTGACTGTACACCAACCCACCCAACAAACGTCATCTTCAAGTATGATGATTACACCACTGTTGGTTGGGCTCATCTCTGAAGGAGATGAGACGGTGTACAGAGCAGAGGTAGAGAACTTGTCCTGCTGGGACTGTATGCTTCTCTGAGCCATGGTCTGAGTAACCTTCATCACTCAGGCAACTCACATACAGACTTTATACTCAGATCAAGTATTTTTGCACTACTTCCAAGCACTTTGCAACATGTTCTCTAAAGTGTTTTATATACATTTCTCTTGTCTTGTATATATCCCCGTATATTTCTCATCTTTGCTATTAATTCCTGCAGTCTACCATTTATATTTATTATTTAATGTGGCGCACCCACAATTTCATTGTACATGTACATTGACAATAAAGGGCTATTATGTTCTATTCTATTTTATTCTATTGTATCAGTGCAGTAAGCTGTGTCACTGTGCCAGAAGTATTGCAGTACTCAAGAAAACTCTGTTATATTCTATGGTGCTGCAAAAAAGACCCTTTTTCATCCACTACATCCCTCATTACACCTGGTTTGAAAAAAAACCCCCAACAAGTTGGCAAGAGCAAAAATGCTTAATTTTAGGCTTCGAAAGAGGACTTAACGATCCATGGTGGCTGTGTACATCTTTAATAACCACCCAAAGTGATTCACTCACCTTCATGTTTTTCATCAGCTCTTTTCCTCCTTTCTTTATCTTCTGTTGCCAATAACTGTGAGTGATTTCCTGTTTCATGTTGTAAGGCCATCAACCAGATTTCCCTCCAAATCTGACTCACACATAGTGTTGATGCTGCTTCTGGCAGCAAGGGTCTAACTTTATCAGCATTGTTTATGTGGTAAAAATAACAATAATCAGGGACAAAAATATTTAATCTTTCATAGACTTTCTAAAGTTTTTCTAAAAGTATTTTATATTAAGTACCTTTTTCTGCCATTACTCGGTTGCCCACCTTGTTTAAAGTCATGTACTTCAAACAAGCTAAGCTGAAGTGTTTTGCATGTCGTGTTTGGGCTTTGAGTTTGAGTGGCGTTCAAAACACATCTGTTTCCTCTTGTTCTGTGATTCTGAACCATCCTTCCTCTCTACGCATTCAGATGACTTGACTCCACGGAACGTCCACTCTGGCAGTACGTCCACCATCCTCTCTGTACTGTAACGCTTTTGTGTGCAAGAGTTGGGCAGTCATTTGCACTGTCTCACTTCACTGTTGTGATGTTCTCTTCTCTAAACTCAAATCTCCTTCAATCATGGTTAAATTTTGGAGAAATCTAGAAAATATCTAATCACTGCAATTGTATTTAATCATACCTGCTTGATTCTAATCATAGTTCTGCATCTTAACCCCTCCATAATAAAACATTATGTCCTTTTTGTCCCCACAGTGGATGACAGTCTTGGTTTCCTGCCAACGTTTGGTCCATGTTTTGTAAACCTATACGGCAGCCCCAGAGAGTTCACCGCCTTCAATGACCCCCATGAGGCTCTTAACTTGGGAAAAGTAACCTATTTATCTTTGTTAATGCGTTCATGATCTCCATGGCTAGTTTCAAGTCCTTTTGAATTCAATATCATGTTCATTTTGTAAACTATGGACCCATTTGGAGCACAAAAAGGAGAATTAGGCAGAGAATTAGCCTGCTTTTGTGCAGGCCCAGTCTGTATCAGATGAGCACACAGTGTCCTTTGGTTTTAAAATATCAAGATGTTGTTGGATCAGAACATTCAGCTCAAGGCTTCATTAGGAATGGTATCACATGTTTTACAGTATATTCAGGCTGTGGAGGTGTATTTGTTTAAAGGTTATCTATGGTTATCTACACAGACTGGGGTTGTAATGACAAACTGTGACAGTGCCAGCGTCTGTCCCTTTTTTCTGTCCGTCAGGGGGAGGGCGTGGCATACCGAGGCCGGGTTTTACTGGAACTTACCACGAAACTGGTGGACAAGCCGGAGCAAAAAACTGAAGACATACCCTCAGATGATCTTTTGGTGGTGGAGGTGAGAGATTAGGACCTGATTCCAGATAGAAAGATAGATGGATAATTAGACAGATACACTGATCCCTCTTTTCACCGCCCCTCGCCATCATGCAGAAGTTTCTCAGGAAGAGGAAGTTCTCGCTCTTCGTTGCATTTTACTCGGCCACTCTCCTCCAGGACGTCGACGACGCCATCCAGTTTGAAGTCAGCATCGGCAACTACGGCAACAAGTTCGACTACACCTGCCTTCCTCTGGCCTCCACTACTCAGTTTAGCAGGGCAGTGTTTGACGGTGAGTCAGAGGTCAAAGGTCAGGCTGGAACCGGTGTGACATTCAGAAGGATAATATTCAAAATATAACTTTATGTACTAATATAAGAAAATTTTAACATTTTCAAGATCCCGAGGTGTCAAAAAATGGTTGCCACTACAGACACGTACTAAAGCCTGCGGTGATGCACTTGGCACCCCAGTGTAGTTGGCGTACTTTAAAAGTTTTTGCCATCCAGACGAGTGTAGTCAACTTCTCATTTGAAACTTTGTTTTCCTCAGTTTTCACTTGCTGGCTAGGTATAGCCATGAAAAACATCAATGCTAAACATATTACACTTACCCCGTGTGTATAAATATGACGCCTTTGCAATCTTCCATATGAGACAGATTAAGATGCCAATACACACCTTATGTTTATCTGTGAGATACCAACAACTCAGAGTATTTGACACTCTGGGAACTAAAAAGGACTGAAATCATGAGCTGTTGGGTAGTTTATGTCTGCTGTACACCTAAATGTGTGTGCAGAAAAGCAAGAGAAATGTTCAAATGTAACAAAGTGGTACACTTGAGCAGTAAATGAGTGAAAATAATAATAACAATTACGCATAAATAAATGATATGCAGCATATGTAGCGAACAAAGAACTATGTTTCAGGTAGTATGTATTAGTTCTCAAATCATAAAGTCAAATATAGTTTACAGAGGATGATTGGTGTTCAATGATCAGTATCAGATTTCGATGGATCTGCAGTTCAGATGATTAAAAATGTGTATTTTTATAACGCAGATTAATTTCATGCAGATTGTGATTTAAAAACTGTGATTTAATTGTTTTTACAGCACTGTCTCTATTCTTGCTGCCTATGTAAATGTGTGTGTGTGTGTGCATATGTTTCAGGTTGCCACTACTACTACCTCCCATGGGGAAATGTTAAGCCGGTGGTTGTTCTCTCTTCTGAGTGGGAGGACATCAAGCCAAGGATCGAGGCTCTCAACATGTTGCTGGCCATCACAGACAGGCTGGTGTGTGCCCGAATGTGTCTTCATCTGTACTTGTTACAACTAAATCGAGTTGAAGATTTAAACACTTTATTTTTTATGCAAATATTTAAACATGAAAATAATAGTTGTTTTATGTTATTTTTATCTAAAATTACATTTAAAAAAATCTGTGTTAATAATTTAACTCAAAGCTCCCTGGAGTCTGTTGTTAAATTTGTATGCTGAGCTTTAACTGAGTGAACGGGTTTGTCTGTCCAGGAGGCGAACCTGCAGAGGGTGCAGCTGGCAGTAAAGGCTGGCGGCGATCTGGAGGAGGTGGAGCTCAGAGTGGTGGAGTTGTTGGATCAGCTTATCAGTGACTGCAGGTAAACTCAGTGTTATTTAAACTTATTGTGATCCACTTATTCCCGAGTGTTCATATGTGCTTCATTGCAGGGAGGGAAATCCAGGGAAGTTTTTATTTGTTAATGTGTCGTTAAGACTTTGCTGGAAAAAATAGTTAAATTCCTTTAACGACAGATTTTTGTTGGTTAAATTATAGAGTAATTAAAATGATCTGTATCCAGGGAACTGACTCAGTTTAAGTGAGTTCATGTAGCTGCATCAGCCTCAATACATAATATTGAGCTAAGCAGCAATCATCTCTGGAGCATTAAAAGTACATTAATTATTTTTAGTGACAATAATCTTTGTTCTTTGTTTTAAAAAAAGATATTTATCAACCAGCACGTGCTGCACACATCATTAGCCCCGTGACTTCTCACTGGTTAACTCTTCATTTCCTGCCATGTTTGCTTCCCGTCTTTTTCGCTCTCTTTTCCCAGTGATGAGCTGCCCTCACTCGATCAGTGGCAGTGTGCAACGCCTCTGGATCGCTCGCTGAGGCACGTTCGTACCCTCCACCTGCAGCAGATCGCCGCGGCGGCGCTGGCTCTCAAACACGGCCCGGAGACTGAGCTCTCCACGATGCTGGAGCAGGCTGAGGACTGGGCCAACAGGCTGAGGACCATGACTGAAGAGGTGCGTTTAAATAAACTGCTACAGTTTGAGTCAGAAGCTCTTGATATCTGGTGGGTGAAAGTGAGCACAGGAAATAAAAATAAATAAATTGAGTCATTTTTAAGCAAACGTCATACAAGTTTTCTCCTTTTCTTGGTCTTCCTATAATGAATTCAAGTATTAATTTTAAATGTTATTCAAGGTGATGAGCTTTGAAAAAAAAAACAAGCTGACCAACCATTTCCTCTCTGAAAGTTTATCTGGCCTAGAGATGGACGCATAGACACATTCTCCATAAACTATTATTCATTTAAATTATCCTTTAATGAGAAAACTCGTTACCACTAATTTCTCTCTCTCTTCCTTTACGTCAATCTTCCAGCCCCAGAACAGCCTTCCAGACATCGTGATATGGATGTTGCAGGGTGACCGCAGGGTAGCGTACCACCGCATCCCAGCACACACCGTCATCTTCTCCCAGCAGCACTGTGGGAAACACTGCGGTCAGCTGCAGACTGTCTTTCTTAAGGTGCACACTCACAGTCGACTAACATCAGAGGACATTACACCTCTTACGTTAATCAGCTTCTTGACACAAAGTGTGACTCACCGTTTGTATGTGTTTGCTGTGCAGTGTCCACAGGGCAGTGGAGGAGAAGCCAAACTTCCCGGTCAGTTGAGGGTTAAAGTTTGGTTTGGATTGGCTGCTGATGTCAAACACTTCAATGAATACGCTGAAGGAAAACTGTCTGTCTTTGCCGAGGCGGTAAGAAGTCGACAGAACTAGAATGAAGTCTCATAAAGAAGTCTTTAAATATTAGCAATGATCCCAGCCTGCCTCTTTCTCTCTGTCTGTAGTATGAGAACCAGACACGGCTCGCCCTGGTGGGCAGCTGGGGAACTACAGGTTTAACCTACCCCAAGTATAGCGACATCACCGGGAGAGTTAAACTGCCCAAAGAGAGTTTCAAACCCTCGCCCGGCTGGTCCTGGGCTGGAGACTGGTACATCAGCCCCGAGAGGACGTGAGTCTGTGCCTTTAACCTTTCACACTCTCATTATTCTGTGATTAACAGTTTCAAACTCTGAGCTTTGTTGTGTGCTGAAGCTGTTGGAAAGAACATGGGAATTTTGTGGCTTTAACTGATTTTTTTTAGAGGCACATTTTAAGGTTTAATTTATCCACTAAGATTAACATATTTGCTCCAGATATCAACAAATGGACAGGCTGGAACCCATCAGTCAGTTTTATACATTAAGATGGAGACACTTATACATGTTAGGAAATATATATATTTAAAACACTTATGTATTTAGTCTGTGGATTTGCTTATTTTCACAGGTGCAGCCCTGAACTTTTCTAGACATTATAATATATAAACGGACTGAACCAGACTATTTCCTGGTGTATGCTACACGTGTGAAAGGAAAGCTACGGCAAATATCTTGATGTGATTCTTTCCAAAATTTTCAGAGGCTCTCTTGTGAAATTTATATAATTATCTTGAATCGAAGCAGGGTCAAAAGTATACATACGGGCTCGAATATACGTACAGTTGCCTAAATCTTTGATTAAGTGGCGCTAAAGGTTCTGGCTGAAGATCTTAACCTGACAACTTCAAGGTCTATTAAATCACGGTTGGTGATTGAGTGGCAACTGGTAGTTTCTCTTGTCAGCATAGAAAGGATTTGTTTGACAGCACTTACTGGATTGACTGATACTTGAAACGATAAGAAAGTCCGAGCAACTCGGATCAAATAAGGAGAACTCTAGATTCCACAAGTTTGGAAGGTCTGTTTCCATTTCTTAACAGCTACAGATTAATAGACTGTCATTTCAAACAATTCAACACAAGTTAATCAGATGTATAATGACTTTGCTAAGGTCTGGAAGAAGACCCTAACTGTCACAATCAGATGAAAGGAAATTTGTTAGGATGTTTGGGAACAACCCAGAAATGACCAAGGCTCAAGCCTGCCATGAACTGAAAACTTCTGAAACACCAGCATCTCTGTCCACAGTGAAGTGAACTTTAAAATCAACACTTTGAAGCTCAACCTGAAATTTGCAGCTGCCCACATGGACAAGCTTAAATACCTCAAGGAGAAAGGTTTTATGATGAGACGAGACAAAAATTGAGCTATTTGGCCACAATGATAAGAGGGATATTGGAGGACTAGAACATTGCATCAGTTGTCAAGCATGGTGGGGGTGCATCATGCTCTGTGGCTGTTTTGCTTCCAGCGGTACTGCTACATTGCACAAAGTGGGTGGAATAATGAAGGGAGAGGACTACCTCCAAATTCTTCAACTTCACCTCAAATCAACAGTTTGTTGGTTGAAACGTGAACACAGTTGGGTGTTCCAACAAACCAGTGATCCCAAACATGCTTCAAAGCTGCGTCTGGAATGGATGAAGCAATCTCATGTTAAGCTTCTGGAATTGCCGTCCCCATAGCCTGACCTCAACCCTATTGAATATTTTTGGAGTTGGCTTAAAAGTTGGGTCCATGTCAGGAAAGCAACCAGTTTAAATGAACTCTACAGTTACTGCCAAGAAAAGTATCCAAATATTCAACCAGAATTGTGCCAGAAGGTTGTTGACGGCTAACAAAAACATCTGGTTGTGCTAATGAACATTTAACTAAATATTAGAGTGTGTGGGGGGTAAATCTGTATACTTTTGACCATGTGTAGATTAGAGAAGTCCAAAATTAGAAGTCCAAAATTACCCCAACATTCATGCCTCCGGTGATGGATGTAAGCTTCTGACCACAACTGTAGTTGTTTAGCAGTGAGTTAAATGTGGCAAATGAAAATATTTAAACATGAAGGTCATTTGTAAATGAATGTGTATGTATCTGTTGCTTTGTGCTGTTAATACTTCAGACTCCTGTTTGATGTGGATGCCGGTCACATGACCTTCACAGAGGAAGTGTTTGAAAACCAGATGAGGCTACCAGGTGGCCAGTGGATTGGCATGCAGGAAGGATACACGGATGTGGTATGTGTAAGTGCTTATGTAACATATTTTGGCTTCAGTCATCGCAGTAAATCTAAGCAAGTGTGTCTTTGTCAGAACGGGGAGAAGGCGGTGCCAAAGGACGAGATTGAGTGTCCACCAGGTTGGGTATGGGAGGAGGTGGAGTGGAGTGAGGATCTCAACAGGGCTGTGGATGATCAAGGTACACACAGGCACACAATAATACCACTTTCAACAATAGAGAGTAAATTAAAACTAATAAGTCCTTTTCTGTGTGTTCAGGCTGGGAGTACGGCATCACCATTCCCCCAGACCGGCGTCCCAAGTCGTGGGTGCCGGCAGAGAAGATGTACCACACCAACCGACGGAGACGATGGATACGGATGAGGCGACGAGACCAGCAGAAGATGGACGCTCTGAGAAAGGTAGCAGAAGAGAAGGAAATGAGTTTGAACAAAATATACTTCATTCACTGTTTTTTTCTGACATATTAAATATCGGCGCTTCAACAAAGCTAAAAAGCAGGACAAATGAGTCTGCAATGAACAAAGCGGTGACACTTTATAACAAGGGCATGATAAACACAGTTTCAATGTGTGTATTTGCATAACTTTGGGTGTTTTCAGGAAAAGAGATGCAAAATATACTGTAAGCAGTTTTAAGTTCAGCGTAATTTTATGGTAACTTTGCAACAAACCCAACACAATTTCTCCGTCTGACATCGGAAATAAACTGCCCATCGGAGCGTGGGCTGTATTATGTTGATGTACATGATGATGTTCTATTATTCACTCTGAGTCGTGGGCCATATTCTGAAGCATTACCAGCTAATTTTGAGGTGTTGCATGAATGATTGTCAAATAATCCCATAAATAATACATATTAGTCTCTGGAATTCTTAATCCTATTTCTTCATGCTGCATATTGTAAATTCCTCAAGTGTTTTTTTTTTTTGTTTTCTAGGAAGAAATTAAGAAGAAATTATTTTGTTTATGCACTTTTCTCACTCTGGTATTATGATACATTCTGTAACACAGAAGATATCCTACTTTACATCCCATTCTTTTTAGGTCACGGATCCGTGTATCCCCATCTCCATCATGTCTGCCCATCCTAAGAAATCCGGTGATGTGAAGAAGGCAACCATGATAATAGTCAGAGGAACATTAAAGTCTTAAAGTTTCCATCAGTTTGATGGCTTATTTTATTCCACACACTGTATGTTTTATTTTATTTTTTATTTTTTTTGTTTATCTTTTGAGAAGATATCTTTGACCAAAATATCATGTCAGTAAGGATTTGCTGGCCTGATTTGATGTATAAAGAAAGGAGCTGATGAAGACAAGTGAAAAAATGATGTTAGTCAAAAATGTGGATTAATAGATTTTCCTAAATTGAATTTTAAAATAAAAATGAAATTACAAAATTAAGTCATGAACAGCTGACGTTCCCCATAGTAACCACTAGATGGTGGCCAAGCTCCACAAATGAATTTAGGAAAGTTTGCTTTCTGCCCTCATGTTTTTATTTTTGGGGAAAATGAAAAGCTGATTTAAGTTTATGTTCGTGTTCACAGCAGCGTCCAGACGAGGTGGAGAGGGAGGGCTGGGAGTACGCCTCGCTTTTTGGCTGGAGGTTCCACCTCAAGCCCAGGAAGACAGACAGCTTCAGGAGGCGCAGATGGAGGCGCCGCATGGAGCCGCTGGAGAAGACAGGACCGGCAGCCATTTTTGCCCTTGAGTGTTCTCTGGTGAGGAAGTGCCCCAAATTATGTAGACACCTAAACAATATATAACCCAGGTGTTTTGATTTCACATGTTCAAAACTGCTAATCCTCCTCTGAAAAGTCCTACCCTGAATTTTTGATGGCTGCCTGACAGGAACTATCAGGTGATTTTTGGATGGTCTCACCTGTAGGACTTCTTTCAGGATTTTTCTCTTAGGAAAAATGAAGTGTCGGGACTAGGTTCTCCTGAAAACATTTGATTGGTTAAACTCTTTAAGGTCAGCCACACAAGTGCCATTTTTAAGAAACAAAGACAACGTCACACAGACCAAATGAGTAGAAACAGACCAATGAGGCGCAGGCTGAGACCTGAAGTGAGCTAGAAAGAAAAAACAAAGTGGCCATCACCCAGACCTGAAGAGCCAATACAGAATGAGAACTCAACAGGGTCAGAAACAGAAAAAAAAAGGTAAATACTCACATAAGACTGGAGATCCAGGGGTCAAACCTCCAGTCTCCTGATTAGCACATGACCTGCTCCACCTCCTGCTGCAAAATCAAGTTCATCCAGTCCAAATTCTGGGTAATTTATCCCTTAATTGGCCTGGCTTTGTGCTTTATCACTGGTATTTGGCGACATACTTGAAGATGGGCTTAAGTGGACAAAATCATCAAAAATGGTACAGATTAAATAAAAAAAGTGATTTGCCCTATCATTATTTGTACAGTAAAAGTAACACAGTCTTTTATTTTGAAGGCCACACAGAAAGAAAGTGCTTGTAAAAGGTTTTGTTTCTGTTCTGCTCCTCTCCTCCGACCCTTCCTCCACAGAGCAGTATAGAGGACAAGAATGAAGACAAGTCAGTTACGACCACGTTTGGAGTCAACAGGCCTACCATTTCCTGTTTCTTTGAGCGTAAGGCAGCTTCCTTTTTCCTCCCTTTCTTTCCCGTCCCTGTTTTTGTGTGTATAATAATGTGTGTACATATCTGTGTCTGTGTGTGCATTTGTATATATGCAGGTGGCACTCGATACCATCTGCGCTGCTATCTGTACCAAGCCAGAGACCTGCTGCCCATGGACAAAGACAGCTTCTCAGGTACTGAAGACAATGTTGGAACTGCTGCATCATCTGGCAGCCAAAGTTGACCCCAAATCATTTTTTCCAGCAGTTTTGATGATTTTACTTTGTTAGACACCTTTAATCTTGCATGTTGTTTTCCCCCTTTATTCCAATCCAGACGCCAAATTACCGTATATTCACTGTTTATTACATAAGATGGATTTTCTTGCGTCCCTCCAGGAAGAAATTAGGGTTGTGGTGATTATCGGAGTGTTATGTTTACATATACAGGACAAAAGTTAAAGGCAGTAAAAGTGATGGTGCTTTTAAAAACATACAAAGTGCAAAATTATCCCAAACTGCATTATCTGTAGGATGCCTTCATCTTTCTGTGTCTTAGAAATAGATTTTTCCTGACTCTGGGTGCATAAACACACAAAGACAGAACATGGCCTGCAGCTGCAAATATAACTACAACATGAAGCAAAACCTGGAACAATGAATCTCCATCTGTGAATAGGATCGAAAGATCAAAACACAAGGATAGTTACAACAATGCACAACTAAAGAAAAAAAAAAGTAAATTGTGTCCAAGGCCATGACAGGCTCATTGTTGAGGGAGGGTGGATTGTTTCCACTCACTTGCTACTTCATATCAAGTAGCAGCCCGTTTCTGCCACTAAAAAAGACAAAACAACAAGTATCCATAACTCGAAATTTCGAGTTATTTTCTCGAAATTTTTAGTTAAGTCGAAATTTCGAGATCCTTTTTTTCTTTTTTCTTTTTTTTGTGGCGGAAACGAGCTTCCATACTAAGAGAGAGAATAATAAACTTGCATTTAACATGTCTCTGCTGCCCCCATGTGGCCGAAAACATATGTTCATAAGTTAAAACATCACTATTGACAAGTGTCTTTTCACGCTTTGTCATTGCTAACAATCCTTTGACTTTTCAAATAAATAAATAAAGTCTTTAAATGCACCGCAGCAGGCGAACCTTACGGGACATGAAGAAAAAGAAGCTTTGATATGAAGCACCGAGTTGTGTATGTGCAGCTGGTGTTACTGCACTGCAGAGGGAAGCAGCGCAGGAAACAGGCGCAAGATATGAGAAGAGCAAAGACACGACACAAAACAAATGTTTTTGCTTCCCATTCCAGATGAGGTACGGTAACTGCGACTTGCTGGAGGAACTGTTTAATCAAGAAACAACAGCACGCAGACTACAATGTAAAAACACAGTTCAGAGAACCAGAGATTGGATGGACGACAGATGGAGGGGAGAGAGTGATATCGATGGAGGTTGGTTAAAGACAGGTGTTAAGAGAAAAGAAGTAAGAGAGAATCCTGACCAAGACTGACATTGATGCAATCGCTATCACACTCTCATTCACTACGGTTCAATCATCTTAGCACGCACACACACAACACAACACACACACACACACACACACACACACACACACACACACACAATGTAATGGATGAGAAGAGTTGATGGATGGGCTTCACTTGTGCGTTAATCTGGTGTAACATGGCGTCTGGGCATCCATGATTAAAGACGCTGAGGTCTTTCTTGTTTTCTTTTTCCTTCTGTCTGTTGTCTTTTTCTCTGATTGCCTTTCATCTTTTGTCTGTGTTTCTTTCTGCTTTTCCTGCACATCTGTCTTTTTAAGCTTCTCTTTATAGTTCCCCGTTTGCCCTTTGCCGTCTGCCTCTGTTTGTTTGCTTCTTTCAACCTGCTGAAGCAATGATCTTACCAGGGCAAGAAACTGCTTGCTGACGAAGCAACTAGTGGAGCAATCAGCTGATGAAGTGTTTCTTCTCTTTACATGTTTGGTTTACTTCCTGCTTTGATTTAAGCTTTGTGCTCACAAAAGCCACAAAGAGGCGAGACTATTTTCTCTTAATAGTTTAACTTCTTGAGGTTAAAAAAAAGCCCTGATGATCCCTTAAACTGCAGTTCCTCAAATGACCACTTGAAGCTGTATTCAAACGGGAGTCCATTCCCATGTTCTCATGTTAAAATGACGTAACTCTTTCCCCCATAGAGACAATATTTGATGACTTTGGAATTTAAGAACTTGTTTGATTAGATTCTTGGTAGCCCAAGTAGGCTGTACAGGCCTCACTAACGTCTAATACACCCAGGTACTTTATAGAAAGTGCTATGCACTGTGCTCACCACTATTTCTATCAAGCTGGCTGTACTTTGTTATTTTTTGCGGTCATTCATGGGCATACTGTACGCAGAAGATGGGGACAAAAGTTAAACATTGCAGGTTTAACTGCCGCGAAGCTCTTTAGTATTTTATTCTGACAGAGTGTCTTTTGTAAGGATTTATGTTCCCTCAAAAAGCAGAAATAAAGTCATGAAGAATGCTTGTGTGGCTTGATTCCACTGATTCCCCCTTCTTGGATTTTTTTCATCATTCTTCCTTTAAACTGTATCTAATCTTGGATCAAAATCTCCACATTTAGAGATAATGCTCTTTTCCTCCTGTCCTCTCCTCCCTCCTTTTCTCTTTCTTTCCATCCTCCCTCCTCTCCTCTTTCTCTTTTCCCAGTCTTCGTTTGCTTATGTCCCTCTGTGGCTCCCACCGGGGTCCTGACTACTGCCGCTTCCCCTCTACACAAACATACACACACACACTCTCACTAAAAACACACAAGCACAGACTTGCATAACCCCCCGGGGCTGTTTGTATTGCGGTTTTTATGAGCTAATGGGATGTTGGAAATGGACGGTAATTGAATGGGTCACCATGGGTGGTGTGTCTGTACACTGTGTGCGAGTGTGTGTGTGTGTGTGTGTGTCTTAGATATAGGGTTAATTGAGGGCTGGTGGGAAAATGCATCTTAACTTCTGTTTACTCCAATGCTAACGGCTCCACAGAGACTCTTTACCCGGCCTGAAACAACAAACTACTCAGTCTGTGTAACTGTACGTAGGCTACATGTGTTTAATTCAGTGTGTGTGTGTGTGTGTGTGTGTGTGTGTGTGTGTGTGTGTGTGTGTGTGTTTAACATGGAGGAGAGCCGTTTTAACCTGGAATAACAAACTTCCCAGAGCGGCGTTCCCAGCCCTCTGTCTCGAGCTTGGCATTCCCAAGCTGCTGATGTCACTGTGCAGGACGCCAGGACAGTTTGGACATAATCGTGCATAAGTTTGTACTGCTATACTTGCGAGGACCGTCTTTAAAAACTCACTCAGCATCTTCAATAATAACCTTGCTCTCTGCTTTGCAAATTAGGGCGGCAAAAGCTCGTAAGCAGCTTCCAAAACCTTCACCCAGAAGATGTTGCAACCATTTAATTTTCTTTTTTCCTTTTTTTTTGGGAGTGACCAAAATGAGACCCAGTGTGAAAAACAGAAACTACCCTTTCTGCATATACATGTTTGGTCTCTCTGAGAAGTTGCATTATATTTCATTCTTTCTAATTTGCAAGTGACAAATCTTCTCATTAATGCATCACTAAGGGCCAGCTTCTTGAAACTCTTCAGTATCCATCAAGCTAGATGTAATAGTTCACCCATCTCCTAAACCCCACTAGTACGGTGAAGTTCTGGGTAGGCCTGTCTGGATTAGCAGATTATAGTGGTGGTGGTGGTGGTAACTTTTTAAAGGAAAAGGACCTGAGGTTATGTTCCAACTCCAGGAGGATAATACTCCTTATCCTCCCTGTGAAGGTCCACAGTGGGAGGAAATGGCTGGAAGAGGGCGCTATGGGCTTCCCTTCTAAAATGGGTATTCTCTTGGACCCAGATAAGTGGATGGATGGATGGATGGATGGATGGATGGATGGATGGATGGATGGAACTGTCGTGCAAAAAATCCTTTTAATAATCCAGTCTAATACATCAATAACATTATATCTTCCATAGGTAAAGGAAACCCTATAGGTTGAGTAAACAAATATTGAGCCATTAAAAAATAAATGACCTCACTCTGCCAAACGTCCAGACCTCGAGTCATATGTACTCTCACCAAGTTTAAACTAGCGAAAAGAAAGGCTCACAGTGTTTTTCTCTCCCCAGACCCCTACGCGATCGTATCCTTCCTCCATCAATCCCAGAAGACGGTGACGGTGCGAAACACTCTCAATCCCACCTGGGACCAGACGCTCATCTTCTATGAAGTGGAGATTTTTGGCGACTCCGAGGTCACGATGGCCAGCCCCCCCAATATTATAGTGGAACTCTACGATCAGGACACATACGTGAGTGTTTAAATCTCATGAAAGCTATTTAGAGGTCTTTGAACATCTGTTTGTCTTCCTATATTGCTAAAACATGGATGTAACATGTATGTCTATGTTGTGTTTTCATTCTTCAGGGAGCTGATGAGTTCATGGGTCGCTGCGTGTGCCAGCCCTCACTGACTCGGTCGCCACGCCTGGCCTGGTTCCCAATTCGCAGAGGGGACAAGAACGCTGGCGAGCTGCTGGCTGCCTTTGAGCTTATACGCAGAGAAAAGGTCAGAGGTCAACTTGACACTTTCACCTACTGGTCTTTTTCCTTCTTGTCATATTCAAAGTTTTTAAAAAGGCATGTGGTTCTGATATGGATGCTTTAGTCTTTGAGGATGAGTCTTGATTTCACTGTTATTCCAACAGCCGTCACTTCACCATATTCCAGGTCAAGAGGTACGTTTATCTCCATTTTTTCCCATTCCTTCTTGAATTTTTGTCTTTTCCATTTAACTTTGAAATATAACTCATGTCGTATCACCTACAGGGAGATTTCCTGACTTCCACCCACATCTTAGATGAGGTAAAACCACACCAAGTATTGTACCGTTTTTCTCTAAATTTAAATGTTTGACAGTAAACATGACTGATATGAGACTATCACACAGTCTAGGAGAGTCAAAGAGTAAATATTCATAAAAAAATTTAAATAACTTTTTTTTTTTTCCCCCATTTTTGATTTTTGTTAGGAAAAGTCTCAAAGTAAGCAAACTGGCTAAATCAGAATAATTTATTATGAAGTCCTTTCTTCAGTTTTTCTTTCTGCTGCTTTCTTCATAAACTGTATGTAAAAGATAGAAGGGGACACAGTGATGTTCTATTTTGAAGCCACAACTTTAACATTTTTTGTAATTCCCTGATCGAGGATCGGATCAAACGTAACTTGTCGGTCACAAAGTTACTACACCATGAACAATACGGTGCTTTATGACCTATTTTACTGTAATTGGGAGCCATAATTGACAAAAGCATCTTGAAACTGGAGATCATAAAATAAGCAAGTGACATCAAAGGCAAATAAAAATTAACGCTAATTTCTGCAGTTCCTCCAGTAGCCAGATTCATGGCACTTCTGCATTTGTCTTCACTTCAGCTTTATGCGTTCTTGTATGCAGTATACAGCTTGTCTTCCAGTCGTATCAAAAACATCACATGTTGCAGTATATTTGTGCAGTTACAGCTCTTTTCATTTATCTTTTGTGCTGAATTATTTTCTTTTTTCTTCATTCTGGCTTCTTCAGCTGATGTTTCCAGGATTCCTCTCTGAAAACCTGCAGCAATGGGTACAATATAGAAACACAAAGTCAAATCCATCCATGGTCATCCCATTTGATGTCTCTGTCCATTTACTGCATACGCTGATAATTTTATCTCACGTGCATGTTAAAAGCCATCCCCTTTTTCTAAAACTTGAAATGTTTATGTACTCATTTTTGATCAGCAGTAATCTAACACTGTGTGGTTTTTACACGTGGTTTGTTGTATGTTGTATGCAGATGTGTATGGAAGTCCAAAGACAGCATGCATGCAGACTTTAAATCATTTTTACATTTTTTATAGGAGCTCAAGAAAGTTTCACTTTCAGAAGATTCCAGATTAAATTTTATCATTAGTGAGTATAGTTAATAATTTTGTGATCACAGAAAGAAAGAGAACATTATATCATAATCAGATAATGTTTCTGTTTATATAATTACACCTTTTTGGGAAAATGTACTGAAGCTCAGAAGGAGAAATATTTACCGATGCTGTCTTTGGTCTTCTATAGATTCTTGTAGGTGCAAAAATATTGTTGCCTCTTATGCCTTTTAATCGCATCTTAATTTTACATATATTTGGATTATGTGGTTTATAAATTTACAATGTAGGAAATTTAATGTGATGCATAAAATTTCGCTGGGGGTTGGGAAGCGCATCTGTAACCGGAAGGTCGCCAGTTCGATCCCCGGGCTCTCTGTTCTGGTCGTTGTGTCCGTGGGCAAGACACTTTATTATTTTTATTATAAATATTTTTATATTTTTCAGTCAAACTTAAAATTGACAAACACAATGATTTTCAAATACATTCAACGTGTTTTATATGATTTTAGGATTAACATGCTTGCTGGGTCTTCTACATTACTTTTGTATTCAAAATATTTAATCCAAATAAATGTTAAATTTACATGCTTTAAAATACATAACAGGCTGCTTGTTGTAAAGTACTATTTTATGCTTTTTAAAGTGTTTTTTTAATGTTAAATGTTATTACATTTGTGTGGTATTAACACTCCAAAACAAAATTGATATACTCATCCTAAACATTGTCATTTAACATTCTTCATGTTTGTTTCCATAGAACAATTCACCTGGCAGTAAATAGCACGGCAAGCTGTTTAAATCGTTGTTGTGCATTCATGTGCTGCTTGGATGGTCCCAGTTCCCGACCTGGGAAATTCCTCTTCAGAATTTGATGTGTTCTTAAATTTGAATTTGGAAACAGCAAAAACACTACAGAGATTAAAGACTTGTTATCCAGCTAATAAATGTGTTTTCTGCCTAATCTACATTATTGCTCACGGACTGCTTTAAACAGTGACAATGTCATATCACCTTCTTGATTAAACGTTAGCCATATAAGTCAATTGATTCAAAGTTTCTTACCTTAAACCAAACCTTTACCAGATTTTTGTGTAATTTCAAGTCACTAAAGTCACCCAAAAAAGGGGATTTTCCTAGTCGGGGAGTCATTTCTCAGATGATTCCAATACTCCATGAATGTGCAAATTCTCATTGGTCACTTGTTGATGACCTGCTACTTTCCTGCATCCATATTCACAGCCGGAGGAGTCAGACCTTCCCTACCCACCGCCTCAGAGAGAGCCAAATGTCTTCATGATTCCTCAGGGAATCAAACCTGTTCTGCAGAGAACCGCCATCGAGGTATCACTAATTATCTGCTTTAACTTTTCTTTTTCATTATCACCACCTTCCTGGGTGCTGAGAAACAGTGAAAATGATCATAGTCTTCTGATTCCTGGACCTGATTCTCTATTGTGTTATGTGTGTCTTAATTATAGATGACTTTAGCTTTATTAGTTCCCTTTAGCCTTCCCTTGCTGTTCCCTCAGGCTTGTCTTTGTGTTGGTCTTGTCTGTTTGTGTTACGTTAATCTAATATTGCTGTTCTGCTGTGTCTCTCTTCCTGTTTTATTTTGGTACATGTTGAACTCTGTGTCCTGTGTTGGGTTTGACATCCTGTGTCTTGTTATCCATGATTTGTTTCCACTGTGTCTCCCACCTGTTTACCCCTCGCCTCATTACCATGTGTATAAATTGCCTTGCCTTATCCTTTGTTGTATCATCCTGTTTCCTATTTCTTGCCATCCCTGTTTGTAGCGTCACAAGTTCCTGCTTTTCCTGCTGGATTTTTGGTTTGCCTTAAAGAAAGCTTGGTTTCATTTAATGCTTCTCTATGAGTCTGGATCTGGCGTCCTCTTCGGTCATTATATATGATAAAAATCTCTTCAACTGAGAGTTTCTGTTGTTTTTCAGTATTAATATCTTTATAATTTAAACTCAAAGAAACTTAAAGGATCTTCATTTTGTTTGTTTGTTTTAATTTTGAATATCTATAAGCAGTTTGATAGATTTAATTATTACAAGTCTAAAAATGACAACACCAACACCACTCTTTCTGTGTCATCCTGACAGATTTTAGCATGGGGCGTCCGGAACCTGAAGAGCTTCCAGCTGGCCAGCGTTACCTCCCCCAGCCTGCAGGTGGAGTGTGGAGGCAGCATGGTCCAGAGCTGCGTCATCCGCAGTGTGAAGAAGAAGCCTAACTTTGACATTAATACGCTTCTCCTTGATGTGGTGAGCTATGCTGTACTAGACTTAAACACACAGAGTAATCAGTGCCCACAGCTTCCATGTTAAGGACAGCTCTGCTGTGGTTTGTGTTACTCATTTATCTTCATCAGTGAAACCACAATAATGGCAGAATAGAGAAATTCCTTCTCTTTTTCCAAGAAAATTATAGGTTTCCTTGTGTGCTGCAGCAGATTTTTAAACATTTATTTTTAGAAAAGTGAATGTTTCTTCAGATAAGAGTTAATTATCTTCCATGGCTATTAGCATAGGCATTAATGTACCATAAATGCAGGGTGGATATGTTTGCCATGGGTATGGTGGAGGGTACAGATGCTTACTGGATGTTCTTAAAGTGGATGTCACTGTAGTACAAGGTCAATAGTAAGCTGAGTTTGATGTTTAGTAAATCAGGGATAATGCCTTTAACATCGATGTAGTTTTCTTTGGATAAACCAATTCATCATATTTTCCACCACTGAAGAGGCAGACATTTCCACCTTGTTCAGGGATCCTAGGAATAAATAAAATATGTAGAAGTTTTATATTTGTTAAGACTTTGTGATTGTGTAATGAAGTTATGGTCACATTTGCACATGAATCTGCAAGTAAGTACATAAAAGGGCACAAATTGCTAACCAGCTGACACTGGTAATATCAGGGTTGTCTCACACATAATGCATTATCTGACATGTAGTTCAGTTATGGGTTATCAGGTTTTACTAATAGGGTCATCCCATCTCAAGTGTTAGCTAGTGGTTATTTGGGTGGTGTTAATTAGCCTCTGCACGGCCTTCTTGTTCTCAGTCTTGGTCCCTGTGTACCAAACGGCCAGCACGCTCTCCACTGAGGAGCAGTAGAAAGCCGGCAGGGAGAAAGTGCAGCCGCTGCTGCTCTTTCTTTACCAGGGCGTTGGTGTTGTGGGTCCAAGTGAGATCAGCGAAGATGTCGGTGCCCAGATACCTGAAGGTGGAGACAGATTCCACCCGTTCTCCATTTATAATGAGAGGGGAGTGGACCTGTCTGTGCCTCCCAAGTCCATTATGAGTTATTTTGTTTTAGGGAGGTTCAACGTCAGGTTATTTTCTGAGCACCCGCAGGGCGAGTTCTCTACCTCTGCCCTATATGCTGTCTATCTATATGCATTTTTTTTAAAAATAAAACTTTATTTGGGCAGTTGTTGTAGCTTGAGAGTTATGTTTGGGGTCTTGTATCAGGCTACCAATGTGAAGACTACAAGACTACTCACATGAAATTGGCTTCTGACATCTTTTCATCTCTCTTGTTTCACTAAATTTATTTCCATGTATAAGTGGGAGCCAAAAGTGAGCTAAAATGCCTTGTAAGGCTGAGAGGAATTGCAGAGTTGAATATAGTGGGCTATTACGAAAGAACACAAGTTATAGCAGGTTAAAAAAAGGGTTGTATGGTCGCTAAAAAACCCAACTGCATGCACGTCGACGCCTGCGCTGCCCTCGCTGCCCTCGCTGTCACTCTGCAAAGAGCGTTTTTTAATTCACTCATTTATTTTAATCAGACCAGCCGCAATCTTCAGAGCAGGGAATCGTACCAGTCGTTACTTATCCTTCGAATGTAACACTGTCCTCTGAGAATATGTTTCCACTGAGTTTACATTGGTGCCATTGAATTCCACCTAAGTGTTTTCTTATGAAAACCTAAACTGAAATATGGAAATATTAAACACATTTTTCCTAACAGCGGCTCCAAACAGGCTAGAGAGTTTAACAATATTAAGGTCTGAAGTTGATCACCTCCGTGTTTTATTATGACAGCTATAACTGGCGTATGGAAATATTCACTTTTTTCCCCTTAAATGCAGATCCTTGCTTTGGCTCCTGCAGTTTAATGTTAACAAGATTAAGGTCCTGTTTTGACCACCGCACGAGTGTGACAGCCTCAATCGGACTGTGGAAATGTGCACATTTCTTTTCCCCTTAAATTTAGCCCCTGAACCAATTCCAAGCATTTAATGTTAACAATATTAAGGCCTTAAGATGACTGCGTAAGTGTTTTCTTATGCCACGGGAGCAAAAGAAAATGTCATGGGCATAGTTTCCTTAAATATTTCTCTTTGAAGTGTCTAACCACCTAATGTTAGCTCTCTCAGTTTATTGTGTGAGTTTAGCATCATCAGCCTCACTTAAGCCTTTCTTAAAGCCAGAGAGGTCAAACAGATTACAGTTGCCAGCCCATTGTTTATTTACCTTTGAGTGAGTTTGGATAAATGAGGTTGTGTTGCCATATTGTCTTCAGATGTAGCTGCTGTAAATGTTTTGAGGGTTTCATTATGCAGCTGGTTCTTTGAGATTCTTCTTCTGCAGCTCTCTGTAAAAGTAAGAGGGATTGAGGGAACTCGAGCCAGTTGAATTTTATTTAAGTATATAGCTGTTGCAGAAGCTCTGCCAGCTGCAGCACCTACAGTATCAGCATCAAGTGGGAGAACATGCCTGGCAGGTCAAGTGATGGTCTGCTTGTCTTCTAAAGCCTGCAGACGTACAACCCAATGAAGGTTGCAAACTTAAAGGGGGCAGACGTTCTGGACCAAAAGTCAGATCCTATACAGGAAATCGCAAGAGAGGATTGTATAGATTTCACTAAATATGTTGCTACATGTCATTTAAATCTAAATTGAATCCTCTTTAATAGAAGATCATGATGACTGTATGAAAACAGGAAGATAAAATGCTCAGTGTTGATCAGATTTGTGGTTGTTTAGTAACTTTCTAATTGTTTTATTGGGCTGTGGCAGATATAAGTTGTTCCTTCTGCTCTAGTTAAGTCAGCTGTGAGTAATTCTGGAAAGGTTTGATTAGATTTTTTCCATAAACTCACATGAATAAGGTCCATTCTTGGTTTTTGTTTTTTCTTTGCGGTTATTTGTTTGTTTGTTTAAAGAGAATGGGCTTCATACGCTGATGTGTGCATAGAACAAAATAAAAGCACATGGAATGTGATGTTCCTACCACTGTGCAGCCATAAAAGACGACAACAGTAAAATAACAGGAGAAACACTATTGAGGAGGAAGCCTGAAAAAAAGCACAGCTTCCCAAAGTGTTTGCACAGGAGTACCTTTAGTTTAAAATAAATACATAATTATAATAATAAATAAGAAAGGCTTAGGATGAAATATCATTTCATTGTTTTATTTTACAGAGCAAACTGTAGTCCTACAACGCAGTAACAGCCTTCATTTTGGACCTTCAGGGTCATCATTCCCAGAAGTTCACAACAGTCTGTTTTTGCAAAACACTGGTGTGAAAATCTCTAGTGTGCGATTAAGATTAATGGAGCCATATATAATGCAAGGAAGTGACACTTACATGACAGAACAAAATGGCATATACTGAAAAGGACAGAGTTTACCGCAACTTGTGTGTGTGTGTTTTTTTTTTTTTTTTTTTTTTTTTTTTTTGTGTCACTTTACTTGCAAACCTTATATTAAAATCCTCAACTTATATGTTAACTCAAAGTCCCAAAAAGTTGATTCTTTTCATCTGGATGTCATATTTTTAAGTGGGAGAAATGTTTCATTACTGTCAGTGACAACTGATCAATGGCCATCAGTACCATTCACAGAGTTGGGGAATGGCTGCAATCACAGAATTGTAAGATTGTCAATGATCAGTGGTCATGACAATTTGCATATTAATCCAATGATCAAGAAACTGACCTCCCATCCTACTGTTCAATCAGTGGGCTAATTTCAGCGTTGTGCAAAGGTACTGTTGAAAGGTTTTGGGGGAACCTGCAGTCAGCTGAGACTAAAGAAGTCACTTGATTATGAGTGACAAAATGTTTCTCCAACTGAAAACGCTACGTCCAGATGAACAGAATCAACTTTTTGGGGATTTCCTTACCTGGATGATTGAGCATGCGTCAAGACACTTTAACTCAAAGTGTTGTATGTACCCTGATTTCCATCACAAAGATGGTATCTGCACCTCTGCAGATTCAGCTATTTCTTCCTTTACATCTGAAAAGGTCCATTTAAGCCTTGATTGGTCATGCTTTGGTGACCAATCAGTTTTAGGCAATCAGCAGCCACAGCCAGTCAACATCACGCAGGCAGGTGGCATAACCAATTAGAAATAGACGTTAAGCAGCCAGACGCTTAAGTCCCTGTGTTTTCATCTTCTTCCATCTCACCACAGAGACTTCCCCAAGAGGAGCTCTACATGCCGCCAATTGTCATCAAAGTCATTGACAATCGTCAGTTTGGGAGGAAGCCGGTGGTTGGGCAGTGCACCATCCGCTCGCTGGAGGAGTACCGCTACAACCAAGAAGATGAGCAAGCTGTGGAGTTGGAGGGAGAGGAGGAAGGATGGAGACGTAAGGCACACAGCAGTGGAAAAAAATAGAGCAAAAATTATTAACACTGATGATAAATGTTAAGTGTCTTCTTTTCCTGTGTGTGTTGGCACGTGTAGGTGAGACGCCCCATTTAATTTCTGGGGAGGTTTTTATTGACATCGATGATGAGCAGCCGCTTGTGTCTGACCAGGTAAAAGAGCTTTTTGTATCAGCTAGTTGCCTAAACCTGCTCTGTGTACACAACACTGTACATTTATTGGCTAATTACTCTGTAGGTAATTACTGGTAATTAGTACTTTAAATAATTGCCACAAAACTGCCTTTAAAGCATCAAAAACACTTTTCTGTTCATCTCTAAATTTCCTCTCACTAACATAAGGATTCTCTGGCTGGGCTGTGACTTTCACCTTCCTGTTGAAATCCAAAATCTTTAACAAAAGAAAAGGAAAAAAAGAGCCTATCCAACAATATCACTCGAATGCAGATAAAATTGTTTATTTAGTAAAGGCTATTTTTCACATTGAGTTAAAACTGCCAAGGATAGTGGTGAGGAGGGAACCTATATACAGGACACAGCCCTATTAGGCTCATAGCAACAGGTCCCACTGTCTTACCCTTTCATTTTTTTTCTCTTTCTTCTTTCACCAGATAACTGGTCAAAGATTTTTGACATCCCAGTTTGAAGAACACACAAAGTCAATTACTAACAAAATGTAGTCTTTTTAAAGCATTTTTTTTAATATCCCCTCTTACCCCCCTCCTGGTCCACAGTCGTAAGTGGTTTCATTGTGTGTATTAGTGAATAGAAGATTGTATAGAATTAGACCGTGACATAATTTGGCTTTATTGGTTTGGCAGACCGCACGAGGTTCCGTTGAAGGGAGCAAACATAAATAATGCAGCGCTATAAATGCTAAACACACACTCGCAGACCGCAGCTATCGTTGTGTAATCATGTTTGAGGACTGAAGGGAGCTGGAAAGTTTCAGGAGGAATGCATTGTCATCAAACTGTGGTCCCCCCAAAAACTGCAAAAACGCAAAGTCATTATTATGTTTAAGATGTTTTTGTTGTTGTTGTTGTTGTTGTTGTTACATTTTCTAAAAATAGTGTTAGGAGGAGAAGAGTTACCAGTAGGCCCAACAATAAGTAAATACATGTAATAAGTGCTTTGCTGGGCTATTGATTATTAAGGTTATTATTATTAATAATAATAATAATAATAATAATTATTATAATAATAATAATAATAATAATAATAATAATAATAATAACTACTAA